CGGCCGGCCTGGAACGCTGGTTCCCGCTGCAGGGGGCGCCGGCGGGCGCGGCGCTGCGGGCAAGGGCCAGGGCGCGGCGGTTGCGCGTGCTGCCGTCCGAGCGCTACAAGGAGCTGGCGGAGTTCCTCACCTTCCACTACGCGCGCCTCTGCGAGGCGCTGGAGCCCGTGCTGTCCGCGCAGGCCAAGGAGGAGCTAGCGGCCGCCATGGTGCGAGTGCTGCGAGCCACCGGCAGGGCGCAGGTGAGGAGCTGCGACGGCGCGGACTGGGGGATCCGGGAGCAGGCGGACCGCGCGCTGTGGGCGGAGCCAGGGGTGCTTGCAAGGGATGGGGGGTCGGAGCTTCAGTTCCTAGAGGAGGTTTAGAGCAAAAGCTGAGAGGGCAGAAACTGAGCATCACCTACGAGGGATGATGGGTCAGCTGAGACGGGGCGGGGCGCCTGCGAGGGGCAAGGCCTGAGCATCACAAGCGAGGGGCGGGAGCAGAGCTTATGTAGAAGGGGCGGGTCACCTGCGAGGGGCGGGGCGACTGCAAGGGGCAGGGCCTGCGCATCAGTGCAAGGGGCGGGAACCGAGCAAATTATAAGGAGCAAGTCACTGCAAGGGGCAGGGTCTGGGCGGCAGCTGCGAGGGACCGAGCCCGAGATTCAGTTTTGAGGAGAGAGAGAGGTTAGCTGCAAGGGGAGTGCCCTGAGCTTCAGCAGGTAAGAGGAGATTTGGAGTAATAGTTGAGAGGGGCAGAAGCTAAACATTACCTCTGAGGGGCGGGCCAGCTGAGACCGGTGGAGGCTGAGGGGCACCTGTGAGAGGCCGGGCAGCTGCGAGGGGCGGAGCCTGAGCTGAGCCTCGGGTCTAAAAGGCTCAATTTTCTGTTGTGAGGGGTTCCAGCCTGTTGTGAACTCCAGCAATGAGGGCGCAGCAGCTATGAGGGGCGGAGCTTGAGTCCCAGGTGTGAGGGGTGAGCCAAGGGCCTGGATTCTCCCGGCTCAGTTTGTGCCCCGCCATCCTCCTGCTCTGCCCAGGCACTGGTGACAGACCTGGGCACAGCAGAGCTGGCGCGCTGCGGAGGCCGTGAGGCGCTGCTGTTCCGAGAAAACACGCTGGCCACCAAGGCCATCGATGAGTACATGAAGCTGGTGGCGCAGGATTACCTCCAGGAGACCCTGGGTGAGCTGAGTGAGGGATGGGTTTGAGTCCTGCAGAATGGGCTGGGGCTCCTGGGTAATCTGGACTCTGGTGGTGGGTGGTGATGGGATTCTAGGGTGGGGACTGGGGACTCCCAGAGTTGTTAAGTGTCTTCCGGGGGAGTTGGAGGGCTGAGTGTGGTGAGTCCTGGTAGTCACGTGTCTTGGCCCATTCGGGCTGTGCTGGGCTGCAGGGCAGGTCGTCCGGCGTTTCTGTGCCTCCACTGAGGACTGTGAGGTGGACCCCAGCAAGTGCCCAGCCCCTGAGCTGCAAGTGCACCAGTCCAGGCTGCGAGAAGGCTGTGAGGAGGTCTTCGAGAACATTGTCCACTCCTATGAGTGAGAATCAGGGGCCCCAGCACCTGCACCTACCCCTATCGTCAGCCACCAAGCTGACCCTGGCCCCCAATTAAGACCACCAAAGGAAATTCAGGACACTTAGTTAAACTGGGTGTAATATTTCAGACATGTTGTTGTTATTTGCCATCAGGTTGATTCTGATTCATGGCAAGCCCATGTGTTACAGAGTAACTACTCCACAGAGTTTTCTTGGCTATAATCTTAATGGAAGCAGATTTCCAGGACTTTTTTCTCTGGTACCTCTGGGTAGATTCAAACCACCAATCTTTAGGTTAGCAGTTGAGGGTAAACCATTTGCACCACCCAGAGACCTATATTTGGGACATGTTGTTGTTGTGGTTATGTGCCATGGAGTCGGACGCAACTCATAGCGACCCCTCCTTGGGTTTCCGAGGCAGTATCACTACGGAAGTAGATTGCCCCATCTTCCCTCCGAGCAGTTACTGGTGGGTTTGAACCACCAGCCCTCTGGTTAGCAGCCCAGTGCCTTAAGCACTACGCTACCAGAGCTCCCATATTTGGGACATGTTATGTTGTTGTTGTTACATACTCATACTAAAAACCTATCTCTTATTTATCTGAAATTCAAGTTTCACTGGGTGTCCTGAATTATTTGCTAATTTTGGCAACCCTATCCTCCATGCCATGCCACCTGACCCCAAGTAACCTGGGACCCAATCCCTTATCTTCTAACCCCAGGGGACCCAATACCCCAATTCTATGCCAAATGACCCCAGTTAAAATGGGGCCTCAATTCTATAACTACTGACTGCAAGTGACACCATACCCCAACTCCATGACCCTGACCTTAAGTGACTCTGAGCCCCAACTCCTATGCTACTGATCACAGACATCTTGGGATTCCAATAACATGACTTCTGACCCGAGGTGAACCTATACCGTACCTCTAATTCCAAGGTAACTTGGGACATCATGACTTCTGACTCTAGGTGACCCTGTACCCCAATCCCATTCTACTTCATGTGTTGTGGCACCTCAACCTTATTTATGTTCAATTATAGCTACAACCCAAGCTCTTTAACTCCGTGTCCATGTGGCCCTGTATGCCTGTCTCCAGGTTGTGGATCCCAGGGCTACCATAAATCCTTACCTAAGGAGACCCATAACCCCAGGCATCATTATCCCAGATGCCTCAGTCCTGGTTCCAGACCACAGATGGCTCCTGATCCCTGACCTCATGACCTTGACCACACATCCTTTATGCCCATACCCTTCCCCTCTGACTATTGCTTCTTCTGCCCCAGCTGGTTTCCTGCAGAGCTCAGCATGGTGTTCTCAGGCTGGCGGGAAGCATGCAAGGCACATGGCTCAGAGGCACTGGGCCCACGGCTGGTGTGTGCCTCCCTCTTCCTGCGACTCCTGTGCCCTGCCATCCTTTCTCCTAGCCTCTTTGGCCTGGCCTCAGAGCATCCAGCACCAGGCCCAGCCCGCACCCTCACACTGATTGCCAAGGTCATCCAGAATCTTGCCAACCGTGCCCCGTAGGTGCTGGAAGGTGTGGGGGGGGGGTCATCCAGGTATGGGTGGGGAGGCACCGGTGCCTGGCCTGACCCGCCCAACCTGGCCCCACCCAGGTTTGGTGAAAAGGAGGCCTACATGGGCTTCATGAATAGCTTCCTGGAAGACCGAGGCCCAGCCATGGAACATTTTCTGGACCAGGTGGCCACAGTAGATGTGGATGCAGCACCCAGTGGTTACCAAGGTGGCAGTGATTTGGCCCACCAGCTGGCAGTCCTGCATGCCCAGCTCTGCACCATTTTTGCTGAGCTTGACCAGGTATGGCCTGAATCCTGGGCTCAGGACATGTGTTGGGAGGCAAGAAGGCAGGGAGCCTCTGGCCCTGGAGAGCCTGCTCAGCTGCCTCCCTACATGCCTCATCAGGCCACTCGGGACAGCCTGGAACCTCTGCCCACCATCCTTCGAGCCATCAAGGAGGGCCGACCTGTGCCTGTGTCAGTGCCAATGCGTCTCCCACCGCCCCCAGTCCAGGTCCACACCAGGTAACCTGGCATGCCTCAAGTTTGGTCCAGGTTCTGATGGGTGGGAGCAAGGCCAATGGTAGGCTTAGGACCAGATTGGAGTCAGGAGTGAAGACAGGATCATATCGGGGGTCAGGGTCACATTGAGGTCAGCATCAGACAGTGTTAGACAGAGGTCAGAGGCTAGAGACAGGGTTGTGTCAGGTGTCAGGGAAAGGTCACAACTAGAGTCAGAGAGAGAAAGTGATGTGGTCAAAGATGAGGGTCGGGCCTCAGGCAGAGGTTGGAGAAGGGGTCATATCAGGTCACTGGGGGTCAGATGTTAAGATGTGGTGTTTAGGGATCAGGGACAGTTCATATTGAAACCAGAGGTCAGGCCTAGATGGGACAGGATGATGTCAAGGGTCATCAACAGGTTCATATTTGATGTCAGAGGTCAGGGACTATGTTCTATCAGGGGTTAGGAAGAGAATCAGTTTAAGGTCAGAGATTGGAGAGGGGGTAGGGGTCATGATGGTAAGGAAAAGGGTGAGCAGAGGTCAGGCCCAGGGTCAGATTGGCATGAGAGGTTATAGACAAAGGTCAGGTCAAGGGTCTCATTGGGTCAGAGGTCAGGGATGAAGTTAGAGAACGTTAGATTGGGATTATGTCAAGGGTCATGGAGAAGACCATATTGTGCTCAGAAATTAAGGACAGGGTCAGAGGGCAAAACAGGATCCCATCAAGGATGAGGTTACATAGAAGTAATAGATCAGGGCTAGATTCATTTCTAGATCCCTGGGTGGTGCAAACAATCAACTACTAACCTAGATGCTGGTAGTTCAAACCTACCCAGTGGTACAATGGAAGAAAGGCCTGGTGACCTGCTTCCATAAAGATTGCAGTGAAGAAAACTCCATGGAGCTGTTCTACTCTGTAACATAAAGGGTCACCATGAGTTAGACTCCACAGTAGTGGGTTCGGTTTTTTCAGAGGGTTATTTCTGGCCAGAGGTTGGGGTGAGGTCCGGTTAGGGACCACTTGAAGGTCTGAATCTCCCACCTCCACCCTCAGCTTCTCCGCAGGGAAGAAGCCTGGCTTCCTGGCACCCCGGGACCTCCCCAAACATACCCCTCTCATCTCCAAGAGCCAGTCCCTGCGCAACGACCACGGGGCGGGGTGTTGGGCACGGCCGATGCCGAATGAGGAGCAGCCTCCGCGGCGGCCACGACCAGTGCAGCGCACGCAGAGCGTCCCTGCCCGCCATCCGGTCCGCCGCCACTCAGCCACAGGGCTCCGGCCGCGGCCCAAGGGATCCCTGCGCACGGGACCCACGCCCCGCGGCAGGCCCTGGACCCGGGTCTCTGCCTCCCTGCCTCGAAAGCCCTCCGTGCCCTGGCAGCGCCAGCTGGATCAGCCACGAGACGGGGACCAGGCGCTGGGCACGCATCGACCTTTGGGCAAGGTGAGGTCTGGCCCAGGTCCGCTCACGGAGGGGAAGGGGGCGCTGGGAAAAAGGCTGAAGGTGAAGCAGGTTCAAATACCGAGGTAGGTGTGCTGTGTGATCCCGGCCCCTCTCTGACCTCAGTTTCCTCTTCTCTACTACAGAACGTTCTTCCCAGCGAGGCGGGGGAGTGGTGAGGTGGAACGCACAGGATAGGGAGCCAGGATCTCCAGAGAGAATGGGGCGGGATGGCAGGTCAGTTGACAGCTGCTCCTTCCCCACAGCTGGCTGAGCTGCAGAGCGAGGTGGCCGCCGTGCGCGAGAAGCAGAAGGAGCTGTCCACCCTCGTAGAGGCGCTGGGCTCCCACGTCCGGGCCTTGGCTGAGCAGCAGGAGCATCTCCGGGGCCAGCTGCAGGACCTGGAGGCCAGGCTCAGTACAGGGTGAGCGCCGCCCTCAGTCATCACTGCCTCCTGCAAGCCAGTACAGGCCCCGCCTCTTGGCTAGCCCCGCCCCCATATGAACCCGCTCCGATCAGATCTGCCCAGGCCCCAACCCTAGGGCTCTCGGGTCGTTGCTCGGCCCTGCTCCGGTCTTGCCTGGCAAAGCCTGGAACCCTTGGTCACCCCTTCCCCTGGTGGCCCTGCCCTCCAGGGCTACAGGTCATCTCAAGCAGGGTCCAGTTGCCAGTCAACCCTTCCCAACCAGGCTGAGCCAGGCCCTTCAGTCAGGGCCCTCCACCCGGGACTGGCCAAGCCTTCCCTCCAAGGGTGCATTTGCTGGTCCCTCCCCTTTCCTTAGGCTTATTTAGGCCCCGCCCCCCCCCATTGGGCACAAATCCCACATCCACCCAAGCCCTGTCCCTTGGGTCCTTGGCCCTCTACTGAGGAGGTGGGGGAGGGGCCTCCTCAGCCTCTGACCTGCCCCTTTACCCTTGACTCTCACAGGACCTCAAAATTGGAAATAGAGCAGGAGCCTCCAAGCACTGAAGGCCACAGGCTGAAGAGTCTGGTGAGACTGGGGCATATCTGCTCGATGGGGGAGCCAGGGATGGTGTGCAAGCCTCTGTGGCTCCAACCCCCCCCCTCCCCCGCCTCCCCAGGAGTGCCGCCTGGCTGAGATGGAGGCTACTCAGGCCCAGCTGAGGGATGCCATCCAGAGCTTGCAGCTTCTGCCCAGAACTCTGGGGACCCGGAACCAGCCCCTGCCTCTCAAAGCACGCTGCGCCAATGGAGACACCACCTGACCTGCCCACCCCACCCGACTAGCCTGGGAGCAGCAAGATGGCCGTCCACGGGGATGTCTGACCCCTGCTTCAGCCCTATGTGACCTATGGTGGGGAGTGGAGCTGCAAGCACCAACCAGCCTGGCACTATGAGGTTGTCCAGTAAAATCTTGATTTCAGTAAAATCGGTGGTTTCTTTATCAATCAAAAAGCAACTTCCTCCCCAACCATTCAGCTGTCCTAATTAGGGGTGTCATGGATATAGGGAGATTCTCACCAGCTGTGTGACCTTAGGTCTTTGTCCTCTCAAAGCCTGTTTCCTCATCTGTAAAATGGATCTAAAGTTCTCTATGGAGTGGAAAAATCACAGTTGAAGGTGTTCAATAAAAATACCCATCATTGTTATGGGTTTACCTGCTTCCCAACATCCCAACGAAGACCCTATCCCATGCCCAACATTCCCCAGACCTCAGAAGAGAGAATCTTCCTAGGTCCCCAAATCCCAAGCCAGGCAGTGATTGTGAGGTTCCTCAAGACAGGGGGACATGGATCTGAGAAAGTGTCTGGGACATGGTAGGGTAGGTGTGGAGATGATTGAATTCTTTGGTGAATAGTTGGAGAAATGATCGGTGCATTTGAATCATGGTGGGTAGGTGAGTGGGTGAGGGGTAGAGTGAATGGGAAGAAGGTGGGTGAATAGGTTAGCTTTTGCTGGATATTTGAACTAATGGGTGAATGGTTGGGTAGTTTGTTAGACAGGACCCCTGTCCTCATGGACCTTTCACTCTAGTAAAGGAGGCAGACAAATAACCATGTAATTGATGGATGGATGGTTGGGTACTAGGATGGATGTAAGGATGTGTGGTTGTTTGGTGTATAGGTAAACAGGCAAGTGCTTGAGTGGGGAGATAGATAGACAAATAGATATGGGTTGGGCAGGTATTTGGATGGGTTGATGTGTAAGGGTATGGAGGGTAGATAGCTTACAGGTTGATTGGATCAGATGTTCATTGAGTGGCAGATGGATGAATAGGTAAAGTAGTGGTTGGAGAAGTAGATAGATGGTCCATTAGTTGATTGAATGCAATTTGTTGATCGATGGTGTGTGAATGAATGAGTGGGGAGATGGATGGACAAACAGATGTGGTGGGTTGATGTATGTGGGTGTGTGAGGGTGGACAGGTGGCTGGCTGATTGGATCAGATGCTGATTGAGTGGTAGATGGATTGGGGGGTGGCTGAGTAGATAGATGGGAGGTGAAATGAGTGGCTGAGATGAGTGAGTGTTTGGATGGATGGACAGATGGATGGAGTAGTAGATGAATGGTTGATTAGCTGATTGGATGGGGTTGGTTGATTGATGGTGTGTGTGGATGAATGGGTGGGAAGATGGATGGGCAGATAGATGGCATGGGTTCAGCAGGGGTTTGGATGAGTGGATGTGGAAGGGTGCATAACTGGCTGGTTAATTGGGTCAGATACTAATTGAGTGGGGGATGAATAAGTAGGTAGAATGTAGGTAGATGGGTGAGTGGAGTAGATGTATGGATGGATGGATAGGTGTTTGGAAGGATGAGTAATTAGTTGATTGAATAGGATTGGTTAATTGATGGGGTGTGTGGATCCGTGAGTGGAGTGATGGATGGGTGGTTGGACAGGTTGATAGAAGACAGTTCATCTCTTAGGTGTGCATAGTGGGGGCTGAGTGGCAGAGAAGGGCTTACTTAGGGTTGCTCCAGGGGTTGGAGGTCCTAAAGTCCAGCATGATAATGGGGAAGAAGATGGTTTGTGGTTGGCAGATTGGGGTTAGGGGACTGGAGGCTAAGGATTGACTGAGTGGAGTTAATGACCTATGGATGACCCATAGGAAGACTTTTCTCTGGTCCTATTAGCGGGCCTAGCACTAGAAGAACCTGTGCGGTGATGGAGAGCCATTGGGGGCGGAGAACAAGGGTGTTGTCATGGTAATGGAGCCTCACAGGCCGCACGGGCCCTTTAAGGGTGACCCGTCTGGCCACTCCCAAGATGGCGGCGCGGCCGCTGGCTGCCCCCCTCGGGGCGGCG